TGTCAACCTTGGGGAAGCTACACCCAAGTTGTGTCCACAGCTTGGCCATGAACTAACTGATCTTTGTACCTCCTAAGATGCTGGTGGTGGTCTCAGGGGTTTGGGAGGACAGGGAAAACTTTTGCTCTTCAGGCTTTTGAAACAGTAGAAAGAACTAAGCAATTCTGCAGCAGAGAGCTGAGAAACCAATATAGTTAATATCATAGTATTAATTAGTACTATCCCTAGTGGAAAATAAAAGGGAGTTTGTTGAAAAATTCTCTAAGTGAAGTCTCTTGAAGTTCTGAAATATTAAAACACTGACTTAAAAAAAAAAGTCCATTTATTAATTGACAGCCTGACAAGGAGAAATAAAAGATCCCCTGATATTTGGAGAATTTCCTCAAACATTTTCAACAGTCCCTGGACAGTTGATAAAATACTCTGCCTCTCTTTAACCTTGTCTTGGTAATTGGCCTAGTGGTAGCGGACACCATTTGACCAAATGGGTATTATGTCATCCACAGTGCTTAAGACTTTAAGACTCAAAGTGCTGATGACCTTGAGAAAATTTGATGTTTAAAAAGCGTCATTAACTGAGTGACCTTAGCCACAAAACTTAGAGTTGTTCCTTTCTTTATAGACAATATCAAATTCTAGCTGTCCATCTAAAGCCTAGTGAATGCATATGGAATTGAATTTATGATTTAATCCTAGTTCTCTTGTGCAAATACAGCCCCTGACGACCAATGTAGTTGTTCTATGTACAAATGACTCAGTGCAGGAAAACTGCTTCAGGCTCTCCTGTCTCAGACACATAGTACTTTGACCAGCACTTGCTTAATAAATGTAAGTTTATTTCCTCAGCCTTACCTGAATTCACATGGTAGATAGTGCAATTTCACCCAAGCTACTTTAAAAAATTAAATTTTGCTTTTTTTTTATGTTGTAAACAAAATAAACCAAATCTGAAATCTGGGGCTGTGCTGTCTGCAAAAATAGAAAAGTCTGGGGAAAAAAACCCAATGGATTTTGATTAAAATTTTAGTGAGCAACTTCTGTCTACACTCTTCAAAGAGAAACTTCTCTAAATGCTTGTGGCCCAGAGACCACATAGAGGGATTAGCGTATTTTGTGTCCTCACAGATTTTGGTAATTTCTATAGTCCTTTCTTTTTGCTACTTCTTATTCCATAGCTGTAAAAACAATTTAGAATCAACTTGAAAGCAAAGAGACAGATTTCTACCATTTGAATGCTGTCAAAGGGAGATAGATATATATATATACTTTTTTTCCCCTCCCCCCTGGGAACAAAACGGTAACTTTAAGGTACACTGTGTAAGATAAGGAAATGCTTCTTATTAGAAGTTTCCTTGTGATTGAGTGGAGATGAGACCCATCTGAGCAAATGGCTGATGACCCAACAATGGGTCAGAACGTGCTAGGTTAGACTGGGTGAAGGGGGTTTTCCTTATTCATTCAGCAGCCCAAGAGAGGATATTGTCTTTGATTAAGAGAGACAGGGAGGGAGGCCTGATGGCACAGCAGAGGTGAAATGTTAATGAAGACCTGGCTCACGACTGAGTTTTTTGACCATTAACCATTGTCACTCAATGACTCAAGGTAGAACGACCCTGAGAGCTGAAAGCCTGGAATGTTTCTTTCCCTTGTGGAATAATCCAGCTTAAAAACCCTGAGTGTGTATCCCTCTGAAGCTTTCTGACAGCTTGCCTCCCTCAAGGGGAAAACTAAATCGGATTTAGTCCTTGTTCTCTTTTTGCAAATAAATTCCTTCGTGATAAACAAGGTTGCCTGGCTGCAAGCTAACTTGTAAATCGAGGAACATGGCAACAGTGTCTCTTCCTGTGTGGGTCTCTATTATTCCTCCTGCCATAGTCTGAATGTGTCCCCCTCACATTCATATGATAATCTTTAACCCCCAAAGATGCTGATATTAGGAAGTGAGGCCTTTGGGAGATGTTAAAGTCATAAGGATGGAGCCATTACAAATGGGATTAGTGCCTTATAAAAGAGGCTCCAGCGAGATCTCTTGCCCCTTCCGCCATGTAAGGATACAACGAAAAGTCTGTGACCTGAAATAGGGCCCTCACTTGACCATGCTGACACTCTGATCTCAGGCTTCCGGTCCCCCGAAGTGTGAGAAACACATTTCTCTTTTTTTATAAGCTACTGGGTCTGTGGTATCTCATGATCGTAGCCTGAATGGACAAAGACACCTGTTTACCTCCTTTCGTTTGTCCCTCCCTCCTCTGATGAATTCCATCTTTCTTAGAATTCATTAGTGCATTTGTTCATCTTTTGAAAACATGATTTCTGAGTGCCTACTGTGTGCCAGGCATTGTTTTAGCTCCTGGGGGTGTAATGGCAAACAAAACAGAGCAATTCTCTACCCTCAAGAAGCTTACGTTGTAGCGTAGCACTCTCTGAAGTTTGGCTGAACCCTGGCTCTTCTATTGGCAGCTTTGTAAATTTGGGGCAAGTTACTTAACTAAGCTGTGCCTCATTTTCTTCCGTATAAGGGGGTAATATTAGTACTTGCCTCAACCGGTCTTAATTAGGATCAAATGAGATAATATACATAGAGCATTTACAAACAGAGTGTGTGGCTATGAGCTAGGGTCCTGGGCAAGCTGCTATTGTCACTGCTGTTGTTGGTGCTATCATCATGCTCTTTCTCCATAAGATGCTTCTTGACTCATCATTTGCCTGGTGACCTGAGAGACCACTTTAATTCGTGCCTCATTTTCAGGGCCAAGGAGCAAGCAGGAGCCCTTTCTGAAAAGGCCCGGGAGCAGAAGTTGTGAGAGTAGCCCATGACTATTGTAGGGAAATGCGCTATCCAACATACTGCAATGGATCCTGCTGGAAAAATGGGGACTGGTACCTTTGATATACAAGAGGCATGTGAGCAGAAACAGATCAAAAGGAGGCTAAGGGATGCTTTGTGAATACACAGAATGTTTGTACAGTAGCAAAGTCAGGTCCATCACTTTTGCAAAGGGCAGCCTCCCCCTCTTCTATATTTGTAGTAGATTCTTCTCTGCCTCTACTTACCTACTTCCCAATACTTTAAAACTTTTTGATACTGGTAAAAGAGGTAAGTCATTTCAGATATTTTTTCAGACATACCCAATTCTACTTTGGCAGTGTCCCTCGGTCCTCTATGCCTTGCAGGTAACTTTTCTGGTTTCTGACAAGTATCATGACGAATCACTAGCTTGAGGTAACTTCTGTCTCTTCACACTATTGATTTTACAAAAACCCAGGCTTTCATAAACTTGGATAACCATATATTTAATGGTATTTGCCCTTAAAACAACACTTGCCTAGGGTACAATCACCACACTTTATACATTCACTAAATCAATGATATATTTCTTAAAATGATGTGCTTGCTTCGGCAGCACATATATTTCTTAAAATGAAAAGAATGTTTAAAAATCATCTTTTTCTAATGTAGGAGAAAAGCAAATCCTAACTTTTCATGTTACTCTATTTTTGATAACCCTCTGGATTTTAAAACAGAGTAATTTTATTTTTTTAATTTTTTAATTTATTTTTTTAAAGATTGTTTATTTATTTATTTGACAGGGAGAGACACAGCGAGAGAGGGAACACAAGCAGGGGGAGTGGGAGAGGGAGAAGCAGGCTTCCCGCGGAGGAGAGGCCCAAAGCGGGGCTCGATCCCAGGACCCTGGGACCATGACCTGAGCCGAGGGCAGATGCTTAACAACTGAGCCACCCAGCACCCCTAAAACAGAGTAATTTTAAACTTAAAACAGAGTAATTTTTATTTAATGTTATTGTTAATTGATAAAATTTACTGCAAAGGTAGTACCTATTTTGGTGAACCAATACTGTTATACAAAGAACTGTTCCCTTTTTTCCCACCCTTAGTTTTTTTGGTTCTAAATTAATATTCTTCACCAGTTTTTGTCTACTCAATCTTGGGGTGACAACTTCATTTTTGGTAAGCTAGGTATGCAACCTTGACACAGGTGTTTTTTTAGAGTTTATTTTGGTTGCATGACTGTTTTTCTTTTTTTTTTCTTCACATGAGCAGTTAAAAGAAGGTTCTAACCAATCCCTGTCTAGCATCAAGTTTGTGACTCTGAAAGTTAATTTAGTTTCTAAAGGTTTTGTTTTCTTCATTTGTGAAGTGAAGGGCTGACCTTCATGATCTCTAAGGTGTTTTTGCTATCTCTACAACTCCCTGGATCTATTGAAATCCATTCCTACCCCAGGGGAGCTATTGTATCTGGAATTTCATAATAAAAGTACTAAGGCTTATTCCATAAGCAAGGCAGAAATCAGTTGCACTACTCTAAGTAAGTAATGAAAAAGACTTGAACAATGAAATGCACTTGACAATAAAACTATATTGACTCTAACTTAATTCTCCTTCGGTGGTTTGGAAGGCACTCCTGGCTATTGGAAACTTCAGGCCGCCCTGGGGGCACTGTGCTCAGTGGTGCAGAAAAAATATTTGACCGGTGTCGCCCCGGGGAATTTTTTTGGTTCTAAATCTCCAAATAAATTCCAGTATCAACACATTCATTTGCTATCTGCTCTATCTCATTAAATACAGAACATAAAGAACAAAAAAATGATATTCAAGTATTCTGTATCCTGATTATTGGAATTTCTGATTAAGGAATTTTTATTTTATGGGCTCCATGAATGAGTTATTCGTTAATGGGTGGTTGGGCTATGTTCAGAAAACGGCATTTTTTTTTCTATTATAAAGGAAGAAGATACTGATCTGTAGATCTGAGTGTACTAAATTAGGGATAGAGAAGGCAAAGAAATTGCTTTATGCTGACTGCTGAGGGCACATGGGTTCCTTGTAATGGGAGTGTGTAATTGTAAGTTTTATTAAAAAAAAAAACAAAAAACTGCCCACATCTTTTTTTTTTTTTTTTTTGGAGAGACTCTTTTATTCCACACTCCTCTCCCCTCAATATGAGATAACCTTTGAGAATACATTGTCAGTTTCTTACCTTGAAGAAGGTCATTGTTGATCCATCTCTGACTGCCCCATATTCTATCTTGGTTTGCTTTGCCAGATCATCTGCTGAATCTATGGGGGATTCCATTCTCTCTACTGTCAGGAAGGCGGCCAGATTGGCAGTGTAGGATGAAATGATGATTAAGGTGAAAAACCACCATATCCCTCCAACTATCCTGGTCGATAGAGCTTTGGGCATCAGCTCTGATCCTGTGATGGTATCACCAGAGTAAGAGTGTTAAACAGAGTTAAGAGAAGAGGGAAGACTCATGATCTGACACTAGTCTAGGGAGGTAATGCATTTTTACGACATAAAAATTAATGTCGTAATTTTAGCGTATTACATAATCGTAATTTAATCGTAACTAAGCCCTTAACGGGCTTACTTTCTTGTGTGTAGGTGAGATAGAAGTGTTTTTTAGAAAATAGAGGAAAATCTAAATGGTCTTTTATCACTAATTGCAGGTATTGCTTAAAATGTAATTTATCAACATTTGATGGTATTAAATGTTTTTAACCCTGAGCTATTCCATGTCTAAAATTTATAGAGTTAGTTTAATTGCTTAGATTTGGATTTGTTTGCTTGTTTTTGTTAAAGAGTCAACCCCAAGACTTTGGGGGCTTTTATTTAACTGTCTGATATGCATCTGATTGTGTGAAATAAAATGTTATCAGTCTTTGTACAACTATGAAAGCTTTGAAACACTAACTTATTTTCATTTAAGATTAAAGAATGTGAGAAACTTTTAAAAGATTAACATATTATGCCATTTGTCACATGTACTTTACTAAAACTTTAGGATTTTACAATCAAATGAAATAGGATAAAGCTACACTTGACAGTTGATGAATCAATTTCCATTGTTTTATGTTACTTTTAAAGTCAAAATTATTTTTTTCTAATGTATATTCTTGTGTGACTGAGAAGAATATATTCACTGAAAAGCATGCTTTTGTCCTTTAAAGTGCTCGCCTTTATTTTTTTATTTAAAAAAATTTTTTTAAAGATCTTATTTATTTGAGAGAGAGAATAAGAGCATGAGAGCGGGGTGAGGGGCAGAGGGAGAAGCAGACTCCCACTGAGCAGGGAGCTCCATGTGGGGCTTGATCCTGGGACTCCGGGATCATGAACTGAGCTAAAGGCAGATGCTTAACCAACTGAGCCACCCAGGTACCCCAAAGTGCTTGTTTTTAATTATACTTCAAAGACTGGCCATTTCTCAGGTGGAAAGGGGCCCTTCCTGGTACCCATACATTTTTAGATGTCATCCGATGTTTATTATTTGTAAAAGATAACACTGGGAGGCACGTAACATGTTAACCAAGAGATCCGTTCTCTCTAAAAGAAAAGGTATATGGACCAAGTTTACTGACACAAAGGGTAAGCATTTGTGAAAATTCTCCAGCTCAAAACTGTTGGTCAACCTGAACTATAGATGTCTATGAACCCAGCAGTGGAATTAAAAAGGAGCAGAAGCAGGGATGCAGGGCTCACTCTAATCGTACTGATTCATGGGTGGATTTTGGCTACTCTGCCTGCCTGAAATTCACCGTGGGTTCTGTACTTAGCATTTCCTCAATGAACTTAGAGGCATGGTGAGTTTATATGATCAGTTAAAAAGTAGAAAATGTAAAAATCTAAAAGGTGAAGTACAGCAGGTGAAATACCTGTTTTCAAGGATTCTTTCACTATTCTGATTGGGTGTTTTGAAGTTTTGTAGTTAATGGCTCAAGACGGAGTGGGGAATTGGAGGTTACCAATCTACAGATAAATGAGTTTATACTCAAATTTAATCTATAAACAGACACACATATTGCTCATGAAATCAAAGCCAGCTCAAGGCTCATGATAAGCAGATCAAGGTTGGCAGAGTTTCTGGGCTTTGAATTAACAGATACATTTTCCTAATGCTCTTAGGTATCTGGGAGCTTTATTCTCTTTTAATGAGGTAAACAGTTTCATTGCAATTTGTATTTTCTTCTTTTGTTTGTTTGTTTGAATTTGGGTGTGTAATATTACACAGATTTATAATAGTTTCCATTAAATTGCCTCCAAGAATTTAGTGGGATAGTTTGTTGCCGTTGTTTTAATCTTGTGGTTTAATGGGATTTGTGTGCCTGTGGGTGTCTGCGTGCGCTTAATGCCCAAGGTTGTTTCATATCTTTGTACTTAATTGATCTAGCAGCCTTTTGGCAGTGTGATATTATTTAGATCTTTAGTCAGTTATCATTAAAATACCATTTATTTCATAAAATAGCGATAGGAAATAAGTAATACAATTAACAGATATATTTTCTTAGCTTATAGGTATGGATTTTTCTGCTGTAAATTTATCCTTACGTTATTTGGTCGCATTCATGAAAAGAGAAGGTAGTAATTTGTTATTTGTATAACTATGTATTATGTGACAGCAAAACTGGACCACTGACCAGTAATCAGAAATAATATAAATTCACACCTATCATACTTTAAAATAAATATACTTTTGAATGATGTTGTCTTGGGAACTAAAAAAAATAACTAGTAGAAATCTACTCAGATTACATTTTAAACCCTTGGTGTATGGTACAAATTAGATTTCTTGACATTTCACTATGTTTTTTATTTTCACACAGCTTTGTGACTTTCATGACTTTCAGCGTTAGTTGAAATACTTAGAAATGGCTTTCCTCAAATAGAGATGATTTGTCTAAGTTTGGAACTGGAGAGGATGAAGTTATGGAGGCAATAAAAGTCAAGTGAAACATCATTAGAAAATATTTGGGATGAGAGACAATACTTGCTGAAGTCTCTTTAGTGCCTTTTATGGCAGACATGACAGCCAATCCTGATCCAGACTTTGCTCACGCTCTGTAGAAAAGAGAAAGTCTGATCATCACATTAAAAAAAGAAATGAAACACAATGGTTTCCAATTGAGTACAGTGACAAGCTTCTGCTAACAAGGGAGAGCACAACAGTTGATACGGAAGTTAGCTATCTGGTCCAATTCCACACACTAAGGACAGATCCACTAAACAGTCATCAGTACCACCAATTTGTATATGACAATATTTGTGTCAGCTGACAAGTATTTTTACATTTCTTGAAAAACAAGCAGAGTCTGGTTGGGGCTGACTGTCATGTACCCAAGGTAGTGGTAACTAGCAGACACTGCATCCCACGGTTTGCTGTGGATGATGATAAACTCCAAACAGAATATGAAAGAGAATTTGAGAAGCTGGGTGCACTCACATGACACAAGGCAGTCATGGTCATGCGTACCTGAATGGACTTGCTGTATACTCTGTGAAACCCACACCTATATTTTTCTATTCTAATGGTACAGACAAACAAGCTATAGGGAAAGTGTGTGTGTTTTGGGGGTAGGGGTTGGTCTCCTTGTTCTTTGATAGTAGTTGCTCAGGAGACAAATGCCCTAAAAATTAAATGCATTCGTAAAGCACTATATGGCTCCTAGTGGGTTTTCCTGCAGGACTTAGAGTTCTGTGCTACCCTCTAAACTTATGCAAGTGATTTCTAGTAAATTCGGTGCTATTTCTATACCTATTCAGCAGTGCCCGCATAAACTGCTGAACTGCCTGATGAGAGAATTTACCCACTTAGCTCAAATATTTGGTATTTCCCTCTCTCCCTCTTGTTTATAAACACAGAATATAAACATTTCAAGTAATATGATAAAAACTCCCTCATGAGAAGCCTGAGGTTCACCCCCAAGTAACAGACATATTTAATATATATATATATATCCTCATTGAATTTTCCTTTGCCAATTTATTTTGCAGCGTATTGTCAAATGAGTAGATTATTCTAAACACGACAACATCTGTGACTTACGATTTTCTTAAATTAATGCATTTAATCTTGGGATGTCTTTTCTAGACCATATGCCTAGAATCAAAGCTGAAGAAAATCCACAAAAGAGCTGGATTTCTTCCAAAGATTAAAACGACTCCCTCCTCCCTCCCCAACAAAATCAAAATTCCGCATATCATAGAAAATATATAAAATATATTACATTTCTATGGTTTGAATTTTATTTCCACACCCTTACAGTTTACTGTTGCTATGGTTACCAATTGAGGGAGATTGTAAAAAGTCACAAGTGAGGATGAATCCCAGTAGGGTTTGTCGGAGTGGTAATTAGGTGACTGTTTTAGGTACTGTCAGCTATTGGAAAAATGTAAGCCAACTTAATTTTCAAAGGATTCAAATTCCACTCCTTTAGAACCCCTGACTTGCGGAGTTATGGCTGGAAAGGAAAAGTCTGATCCTTCCATCTACACAAATTTGTAAACAATTTCTTGGGTACTTTAACCATTACTTCCTTCTAGGAAAAATTGTATTGCTGGATAGAAGTCTTATTTTAGAAATACAAACAAGAAGTTCCATTCAGGTCATATTTTTATCTTTGCTGTCTTTAGAACTGACTCTGAAGTCAGGTTCTATTTTTTAATTCCTGAGATGGTTTTTCAGCCTACCCTCTAGCTTTATGGTGGAGTTTACCAGCAACAAAGCCTGTCAGCAGACTGTGGGATGCATGTGAAAAAGATAGGCAACCGGTGTACCTTGCTGCATGAGAGCTCCAACTCCAAACCAGAAACTATTTAGTAAAGTAAAATTGTTTTCCACCACGTCTGAGTCAGGGTTGCATGGGTGGGGGTTATACCATTCGTAGGGTGTAAACCTGTAGTAGTTAACAGAAACAGTTTGTAAACATCAGATAAATACACACAGCACCAGCAAAACCTGCTGAACAATGCAGAAAACCCAACAATTAATGGTGAAAGCATCAAACCAAAACAGTAAAGGCCATATTCATCAACTTACAGCTTTGGTGGGCAAGGTTTCAAAGGAGACGTGAGAAATTATCTTTACCAAACTTCTTATTTCTAGACAACATGCTTTGGTTGGCTGGAATTGTACCTCTCTGACCTGTCTACTGAATTCTTCTGAGTTTTTATTCATTTTCATTTTACTGAACTGCTAGTTGGACTGTGAAGAAAGGTTCACTCATCCAAAGTATTTACCCCACCAAGAAGCAATGACTGCTACATACACTGGTTACATACCAACTAGAGTGTCAAGATACTGTGTTGCTAGATACTGGGGGACACAAAGAAGAGATGTCCCTTGACTTGCTTTCAAGGGACATCTATGGACAGACGCCTAAAAGAAAGATGTGGCTTAGTGATTGCATAATGCATCAAAGGAGCTGCAAGGGCAAAAAAACTAGTGAACAGAAAGAAGGTCTAGACTTGGGGTATATTCAATTTTTTTTAGTATACTACCCATATATGGAAAGAAAAATCATAATCTTTAAATGAAGAGATGGGGGCGCCTGTGTGGCTCAGTCGTTAAGGGTCTGCCTTCGGCTCAAGTCATGGTCTCAGGGTCCTGGGATCAAGCCCCGCATCGGGCTCCCTGCTCAGCAAGAAGCCTGCTTCTCCCTCTACCACTCCCCCTGCTTGTGTTCCTGCTCTCACTGTCTCTCTCTCTGTCAAATAATAAATAAAATCTTAAATAAATAAATAAATAAATGAAGAGATGAAGTGTATATATATATTTTAAGTAGGCTCCATGCCCAACATGGGGTTTGAACTCAAGACCCTGAGATCAAGAGTCACATGCTCTAGCGACTGAGCCAGCCAGGCACCCCTGAAGACTTGAAGTTTAAACTTAGAAGTATCTTGGCCCAGGGATAGGGGTAGGGGTTCATCAGTGTTAACTCCATAGCATGTTTCACTGGGGAATCCCCTTTTGATTTGTTTTTAATTTATTTATAGAATGATGGACTGCAATCACTTGATCAGCAGCCCTAGTAAGTTAGGAAGTTGATCTTGAACAAGTCACTTAACCTTTCTGGCCTCAGTTTCCTTATTAGTAAACAAGAGGGAATCCAGATATCTCCGGGATGGGTGAAAAGAAAAATCCAGGGAACTGGATAGACTTTTGGTTCTTTCTCTGTTTTCTAAACATCTGTCTGACTTCTGTAGCCCAAGTAGTTGCCTGCTCTGTGGTTATTTTGTAGGGCTATCTTGCCAAGGGGCACTTATTTCCCCAAAGAGACATTAGCAAATGCTCTGCAAAGTGATCCGGAAATGATTTAAAATATTGTAGTTCCCAGCACTGGAAGCTTTGCCATTTGCCATTGGGTTCTTTTAATGCAAGCAGGAGCGTTAGAGTAATGTTAAAACCCCATAAAACCGATGGGAACATACGGAATGCTCTCCAGCCATAAGATTTCAGCAGCAAACAATAGCAGGTTGCTGACACAATGGGGAGAACTGCGATTAAGGTGAATACATTATCTATAGCAAAAAGCAGGGCACACTGTGAATCATGCACAAGGAACTGGGCAGACAGTTTCTCTTAATGAAAAACCATTCCCTAAACCCCCCTGAACACCTTCTGCAAAGTGTACAGTGTCTCCTCATCAAGTCTTAGGGGTACGGAGGTAATAGCCTCATAGTTTACCCCACAGTAATGGTATCCAACTCATTACTGCACCTCCTCCACAGCTGCAGGGCACACAGTGCAGGGTCCTGTGAAGCTTATGAATATAGCTGTAATTGACAATGCCATGCCAATACATTTTAATTACTGTCTCAACAATATAATTAAATTTTGAATTTATACACTCTTCTAACCATAGTAGTTTGCTGAGCTGAAGAAACGAATACCAATATTAATGAACCCACTAATTGAAACAGTAAGCACAGTAAAGATGCCATTACTTAAACAATATCATTGTCACTTGTACAATAATTTTAAAATATTAATTGCAATAAATTAGGATTCTTATGTACTCAAAAGAGTTTTTCTCAACAGACCATAAAACCGGGCAACCACAAGCCCCCCTGATATTCAGGTACTTCTTCCTCATCTATGCTCTGATCAGTGAGCCCATCACTTACCTCTTTGAAATGCTGCTTTCGGTCTTGTGTCAGTGTTTCATACTTTGCATTTCTAAGTGAACAATTAATCTAATTTTTCCAAGGCAAAAAGGAAACTGTCTAAACAGCAATATGATTCTGCCTGCACTGCAAAGATATTTTAGGTTCTTTCTCTCCAGGATTCTGAGTGATTTGCATTGGACTGAGGGATATTAAGTGTCACTAGGATGCTGTGCTATAAGACACTCGGTTTTCATAAAGCAATAGATCTACCTGTTGCCTGGATGTAAATATTTCAGCTTGAAATGCCCAATGCCTGCTTAAAGATAACCAGTGTGACAGCAGTGTCAGCATCAGGAAGGCTGGGGGAAAATTAATATATGACCTATACTAATGATATTCTGAGGCTGCTATTCACAATTGATACTGATCTTTAGTAAAACGACAGAGAAAGGGACAAATGTGCTTAAAATCTGTGTCAAAATTTGCATATAAAAGAGTAGCATTATGTTGAAAAGTAAAGGTTCATTTTGGGTTTATGTTTATATATACCAAGCTTTTACTTGAATGGGAGATATAAAACAATCTTCAGACTGAAGATCTCTAATTAAGGGATTCTTTTTATGGCTGAGAATGGATATTAGAATGCATTGAGGAGAGAGAGATCTGTTCATCTTTTAAAGGACAGAGCTCTATTTGAGCTTGTGATATAACTGTTGGGTTTGTATTATAACTTTAGAGTTACAGTCAAAGGGTTTCTTGATTTTTTTTTTGCTAAATGCCAACTTAAAAATGTTCATTTTTAATAAGACAAACATAACATAAAATGTAAGCAGATGTGATATCTGGATATTTGGTTTATTTAAACTGTGTGTACATGATGGACATAATTCCTTGGGGTTAAATGTTTTTCAAAAAGTAATTTAAAAAATGTTAACCACAAAACAAAACCCTGACATGCACATTTGTAGCATCATAACTAAACAAGTCATAGTAACTTAAATGTTTATACAGTTTTCCTTAGTTGGTCTAACTTTATGAATTCAATTCAGTTTAGCAAATGATTTTTAAACATCTATCTAGTGAGAACATTAGCCTAAATGCAGTGATGGGCTTTATTTTTTTCCCCTTTAAAAGGACATAAAAGGATATACTTCAGAACACAAATTCAAAAGCCTCTCTAGAGCTAACGATGATTATGAGATTAACTTTTTTATTTCTACCTCACTAACTCTGAAGGCAAACCACTAAGGTGGTAACAGAAAGCCATTTTACATTTTAGTTTCTTGGTGCAGAGTGACCAAGTTCATGGTCTCAAGCTATGATGGTGGGAAGTAAAAGTGAATTGGCACACCTATTCAACAAGGATTTTGTCTTTGGGAATCACCTCCAAAATATATTTAGGGGCTTTATGAAGTAGAAGTAGGAATGGATTCAAGGGTATAGAGATGAATGTAGTTGAAAGTGAGATCCCCATGACGGTGCACTTGTGCACTGCAGGGAGTTTTTTTTTCACGTTCCACCACCGTGCTGTTTGCAAGTGCGCACTCGATGCACAGCAATTCCACTTTTCCAAGACCCGGAATGAGAGGAAAGGCAGTGAGAAGAGGCAACAAGGAGAATAAGCTAAATAAAGAGCTGGTTTATAAATGGTGCTGTCGGTGAATAGGAATATTGAGTGGATAGTATTGATTGGGGGCTGCTTTCTTAATAGAAATAGAATGAAGTCAGAAAATATAGGGTTCTGGGTCACTGAGAGCTGATAGAGAAACAGTCAAAATAAGGAGGAGAAAAATGACTGAATGTCACATGATTCTGATGACAAAAAATAAGGCAATTTAAAGGCAGAGTTGGGGTCAGGTGTAAAGGGGTAGTTTCAGCCTGTACACTTGTAAGAACTTCTGGATGCTGTTGACATGTTTTGTCTCCCATTGGCTTTGATCAAATCAGTATGATAAATAACATATTTGGTTATCAGCATTGTCTTGCCTATTCTACTCATCAGCATCACTGCCTAGACAGAGCAGCAGACAGGGGGATAAGGAAACCACTTCCCTCTGCTGCTTGGATTGTTCTACTGTCTCCAATATCACCCAACAGATGTGGGCCCCAGAACAGAGAAATGGAACAAGTCAATGCAAAATTTCTTATTCATTTATAGAGTGTTCATCAAGTGGTCATTTATTAAATAGCCATTCTAGGGCAGTATTAATCTCACTTACTAACCAGTAATAAGAAATGCACCTCCAAAGGTGAGCAACTTATCTTTTAAAATTTGATACCCAAAGCAACATCTTCTTTCATTATTTAAAACATGGTCTCAGACTTGGTGCTATTGACATTTTGAAGTAACTCTTTGTTGTTGGGAACTGTCTGCATACTGTAGGATGTTTAGTGGCATCCATGAACTCTACCCACTTTATACCCCATAGCATTTTCCACCCTCAGTTGTGATAACCAAAAAAAATGTTTTTAGAACATGGACAAATGTTACCTGAAAGATAAAATCTCTCCTAGTTGAGAACCACTGATTTAGAGCACTAAAGTATCAAAGCACAATATCACTACACATACACATTAATACACATGCACATACACACTAATATATTATCTTCTGTAGTAGGACTTATAAAAAGAGAGCTTTGGTCATTATTTAAAAGTAGCTTAATACTTGGCCAAAATATGGAAAATGATCTGGGATCTGATAATGATACCCTTTATAAGGTGTGAAGTATGGAGAAAACATTTATTTCATATTGAATGTATACCCACATGTGAGCACACACATTCATTCAGTTTGACTATATGTGTGTGCCTCATGGATCTTTAAGACTTCCTAGCCTAGGTTATTTTCCCAAGCTTGCTTTATAATTATGCCAGGGAAAGAGTTACCTGGCATTAATCAAAACCAGAGAGTGGACAATGACAGAGAGCTGGCATGAAGAATTATTTCTCATAGATATTCCTGGAGGGAAAACAAAAATTGATCAGGGGAAAAAGTTCACTGAGTTTTGTTGAAAGATGAAAAAGAGTGAAAACGAGTGGGGTACATACAAAAGCAATTATTTTTTACATGTTCTATCTAGGGATATCAAATGTTTAAGCCAACAGAAAGATAAAATAGCTGTGTTTCAAATTCAACATCAAAGGTATTTAGAAAATATAATCTACTGAAAGGTACAAAAATCCTTTGAAGAATTGTGTAAAGTGGGATGGTTAAATATAGAGTTATCTCATAAAATAAAACCTAAGCTGAATCATCAATGATAGCATAAATATTTCATGCCTTTAGACTCTACATGTTAGTAATCTTTCTTTTCATAGTTATTAGTTATTTCTAGAATGCTCTTTCACTCTCTAAAGTTTTTAAAAATAAATTTTATCAAATTTTATCAAATTTTCAAAATATTTTTCTTTGTTCCTGAGGGTTACACAATCTTGTTTCACCCCAGTGTTTCTTATTTGCTACAATAATTCCTAGTTAACCTTTTTTCTGTTTTGAGTAATGGAATATTCCAGGTGTCAAGTATTTGGATACCATTTTACTCTTCCTGTTGAAACGTTTTAGATTTATTAGCTGAGCTGTTGCTTTGTTGTAATATAATTCAGAGAATATAGGTAATTAAATATTTTATGCTGCCTTAAATACTGTGAAAATTAAATTAATATAAAAATTATCTTCTTGTCTTTTAAAAGTACCTTTATAAAAAATTAGAATATATTCATTCAAATCCTGACTTTTTGAGGAAGAACTTGACATAATAAGCACCAGGCAAAACTAGAATAACATTTTAAAGTTCTTAACCTATGTTACCTAGTCTAGAGCATATGTGTTAATCTGAGACTGACCTAGATCTGTTGTTGTAAATTCAGTAGTTCTCGAACTTACCTTGCAATCACAAAGAGTACACAACTGACTCCCAAGCAGGCTAAGAGCACATACATCCAAATGTCAGGAGACAGGGGATTGAGGAAGGAGAAGACTCCTGGATTGGTACCATTGGGCTTCCTGTAGAGAATGCTGATGCCCAGTGTCATGAAGGGCTTGGAGAAGTCAATGACTTTCTCCCGAACATAGGTAATGGTAAGAGGAGCCACTGCCAGATCAGCCTTCTGCAAAAGCAAGTTCAAAATCATTGTCTTAGTTGCCTCACTTCCCAGCAAATGTCTGGACCTTCCTGGGTCCTCCTGATCTATGTTTCTCAATTCCAAATGTTTCTCATGCAAGAAGCCTCTGTAATGATTGGCTCTAGTATAAAAACAGTTGATTTACATACTTGTGCTTATGAAATAGTATTTATTAGCAAAGAGAAACAAGAAGGTATGAAATACAAACAGACAGACAGACATATATACATCCTGGAACTAAATGGAGGAAAAAACTGCAGGGGGGTGTCTTTAAAAAGGACATATGAGCAAAGCAAGGAAGGAGCCACTTGGTCATAAAATCAGCTGCCAAGATGAGACTTTGCTCTGAGCTGCAAACTAGAATTTTTTATCGAATTTAAGAATCACTAGGTTTATTCTTCAGCATGATGGATGGACCCATAAATTTTTGTTCTCAGTTTGTGTCCTTACTTGGCTTTCTACGTAAGCAAACTCCATTTCCTTGTTGTTTTCTCCTACCTCTTAAACCATTATTAGGATTCAAAAAAAAAAAAATGTAACATTTCTTCTGACCTTGACTCAGTCATTTTTTCTCTTTTACTTCTTACTATGCATTTTGTCAGACACTTAAAACCCATATATAAAAGATGTTTTTTTGCTTACATGATCTATCAGTTCTTTGACCATTCCATTCCACTCTCCTTTGTCATTCTGGGCTCCATATTTGCCATCAGGGACGAGTTTGACATCATAAATGAAACCCAAGATGTTTGACAATTCCTTCAACAGGTCCAGGCAATACCCTTCAAATCTGTCATTTCCATATAAGGGCTTATCAGATTTCCTGTACATCACATAGGGTTCTTCCTATTTGAAACAAACCAAATATGAAAACCCTGTCATAATGAAGGCAGAATTTCCTTATACAAGCTCCATCCACAGTTGGAAGACATAAAATATTTGAAAATGATTGTTAAGATTTCAGAGTAAGGAAGTTAGTCGCTCACCTTCCTGCCTTCCCTAAACTCATTTTCCCTATACCCTCTACCAATACAGAGCATTTCCTATATTAGTTTCTCTTCCTCTTCAGTGTGTGAATGAGAATGTTTTTCTCCACTGCTGAGGGCAGGGCTGTATGTGAATAGTATGATAGAGACAGAGTCACATTTGAACTTGAGGTCCAGCAATGAAGGACCAGATGTCTGGGTGTCTGGCCTTCATCTGTCCCCACACCCAGACTTCCTTTGCATGACCCCCTCCTTCCTGGCTTTTACATAAGAACTTTGCCTACTAACAAAAAGGAAATTTAAATCAGCAAGTACATCCTCTTGCTCTTCAAACTTCCTATCTACTAAATACTCTCATTTCCTCATCTCTCAGTTAAATTTCATCTCAGTTTCACTATTCACTTTTATCTACATATTTTGGTTGGATTCCTTCAGGGTATCTTGTTCAAAGACTATTTATATGTCTTCTTATATTATCAGTTCCATTTTCTTATTTGAACTCACCTCAAATCTTATATTTGGTAATTCTTTGCTTATACACTTACATAATAAATCCCCTATTCTATGAATAATGGATATTTCCTTACTACCACATATCTTTAATCTTATTCTCATTTGGTTAAATGAAAATTTATTTTATAACATTATAATAGTTACTACATTACCGATATGTCCTTTTACTTCTCATTATACGTTTTTCCCCCAGACATTTAAGACCCATTTAGGCTTATCCTCCAACAAACTGATAGAAATAGAAAATTCTACATTTCCATGAGATAGTTGCTGAGAAAGTAGTCACCAGAAAAACAAAACCATTTTTATTATGGAAGAACAATTCTCAGAAGTTAACGGTTTCAGAAATAAATTGGTCTAACATTATAGACTGAATCAAATGAAGCAAGAATGTCTGAAAGTGAAGATTTCAGAGGTGGACTCTTCTGTCCTTTACTCTTTGGGTTAGGGTTGGAAAAGAGAAAAAATGAACAACCCATGGATGTACAATGACTGAAGAGGGGTATGATCAGGTTCTAATAGGAAGTAGGAAGTACCCTTACCTGGGTTTTTGAAAAGCCTCTTAGTAAAGGGGTTATTTACAGAGGTGTGAGCAAGGCAAAGGGAGCCAATAGGAATGGAGGTGGGAGGAATGGAGGGGTATAAACATCCACAGACCAACATAATCAGGAAGCTTGTAGCACCTAGGGTTAAGGCAGGCAGGAGGAAAGAGTGCTCCTGGAATCCAGGACAACAGAGGTCTGGAAGCAGGATCATTGACAGAATAGGAGCTGTGGTTATGAGAGATAGAGGTTTTGAGAAAACCACTGGAGGCAGGGGAAGAAATGTTCTTACTTCTTTTTCCCTACTTCCTTGGTTTCTTGCCAGAGTCTCTACTTGGTTGAAACCAACCAGCAGCCAGAGAGCAAGGGAGACTAGCTGAGTGGGGCCAGAGAGTACAGCAGGGCAGAGCTGAGAAAAGATTGAAGGTGGGAGATGTGCAGAACATTACTGGAAGCTTCTAATTCAGTGCAATTATGGGTACATACAAACAAAAGTTTTTATTGTCCTGATTAAAAATTGACATTTGCAGAAAAAATTGTTGGCATGAAAGAGCTGAAGAATTCTTCAAAATCTAAGGCAGGAGTCTGGATAAGACACCCTGAATTCCACTCAGTCAACTTACCAAAATGGTGGTGACGATGAGTGTCCGGTTGGCCAGTGAATCAGTGATATTGTTGGACCTGTCTTTGTTGCCATCGGTCATGTTAAGCCCACTGTTGGAGTTCCAAATCCCAATCTACACAGAACACAATACATCAGAGGCTGCTTGCTGTCAGTGACCCCATTTACATTAAAGAGAGGCCACTTCTACACCAGGAATGGACATAAAAAAGCTTAGCGTCTGGGGAGACAACACCAGGGCATCACACTGAAGCTACTCACTGTGGGAAAATGAGCAATGAAGGAATGAGGGTGCACATGGAACAGGAAAAATTAGTGCCATTTGGGATAGAGTGGGGAGAGGTCTTTTTGTTTATTACTTTATTAAGTTTACTGTTCTTTAAATTCAGAATTCTTAAATGAGTACCTGACTTTTCTTCCAATATGTATGTGTTCACCACCTATTTTATGCCATGCCTTGTTCTAGGCATTGGAGGACATAGCAATGGACAAAACAGACAAAACTTTCTTCCCTAGTGGAGCTTACATTCTAGTCATACAAACCTTAGATTGCCAAAGTGGTACCATTGGTGTCTAAAATTTATAAGGAATGAGATGAAAGGAGCAAGGTGGCTGAGGGATAGATGGGCCATCTAAAAGGGAAAAAAATAAATGGGAGAAAAAAAGTGTGGATGAACAGTAGACTGATCCTCTCTTCACTGAAGAGTCAGTGCTAGGCAGGGGTGCCTGTTACTCTTCTGTTTACTTGTTATGTCTGTGCACTTAACTATGAACTCCTTCAGTGATGGTATTCATTTTTATTGCTCATTGATCTATCACAGAACCACCCATGGTGATTACTAGTCAGTGAAACCCAATGCTCTTTTAAAAATTAATGACCATGGAACACTACATCAAAAACTAATGATGTAATGTATGGTGATTAACAAAACATAATAAAAAAAATTAATGACCCACAGTTTTCTCCAGAGGCCAAGTTACTCTTGGATTAGTAGGTTCTAAAGAAGTACAATGATTTCTTTAGCTTTTGGAGGAACCTAGGAGAAAAGCCTCAGGGAACCGAGCTATTGAGCTAAAGCCTTCTGTAAGCATTTATTGCGAGCCTGGTGAGACAGACAGAATGCAGATGTGTTTCAGAGCCAGGCAAAGCTAATGGCTGTGTGACCTTGGGCAAGCTGGTAACCTTTCTGAGCTTTGGTTCTCTAACTGTAAAGTATGTCATCTGGATATTGAGAAGACCAAATGAGAAGATGTACATGAAAGTGTTGATAATTGTTAAGAGCTACACAAACATAGATAATAAAGGGCATTCAAATGACTGCCCCAGTAACTTCTTCAAGCTTGCCCTGTTGTGATAGAATTTGGATTGTGAGGGAAACATTTATTTATTTGTTTGTTTATTTTAATTTAGAGGCAGATAAAGTAGAGGAGCCATGAACTACAGGGGCAACTGAGGATCACTAACACTTGGACAGACTCTGGATAAGACCTATGTTTGATCCCTGAATATATTCTCCCAATGGGAGGACATTGCCTGCCTGGCAGAATATAGGCTTTACAGACAGACTTTTGTCCAGATCCTAGCTTTGCAATCTCCCAGCAGTGTGACCCTGGACAAGTTCATTAACGCTGCTGTGCCTCAATTCCTTATCAGCAAAATGGAGGAAGGAGGGCTTTTCTGATGATTAAATAAAATATCACCGGTGGGAATGTTAGGCCTCTTCTTTCCTTTTCTATTTCTTTACTTTGATTTATTGCTTAAATAGAGCAGCAGAAATTCATTTGGCTTGATAAATACTCTTTTTAGACGTGTAAATTTTTTGAGGAAGTTTCAGGGACTATCACACATCCACACATCACTGTGAACTATTTCAATGTCACTGTTTTCTTTCTACACTTAGTAAGAGTTAGTTGGCCAATGAAATAAAGAGACCGGTCTAGGTAAATGGGGGATTGGAGGTAGTGTTTGCATTTGGAAGTATTTTGAGCCTATCTGTAATGAGGTTACTAGATGTAGGCTTGGAATATAGGACAGCACCTTTAATAACCATTCAGTCTTTCCACCATCAAGGGCGATATCTGTCATAGAACCCACGCAATGCACACAACATCTGTGAACTGAAGAATCTTCAGATTTCTTTGGTTGGCTTTAAACCCAGGAAAGGGGGACAACTTTTTCTCTTCTTTCTTCTCAATGTGTACCTCTTTTTCCACTTTTTTGAGGAAAAGACTTTTTTTTTTTTTTTAGGAAACATAACTCAGGCTAAACATGCCTGGAGTCTGTTGGTTTTCATCCAAAGCTATGCTTTAGGTTGTGAGTAATTGACTTCTAACTCAACGAAGGCTGTGAGTAAATTGGGCTGTGGCTAATTAAAACTCGACTTAGGCACTGGGGTGAATGGAACCTAACTTTTAATTAAGTATTGGAAAGTGGAGAAAATAACTGTGTTTGTAGCCAGTTTGTTAAGTAATGGAATGTGTTCTCTTTAACTAATTTCTATTAATGTCAAGTGTGTGTTTGAAGGAACTATACTAATATTTGAAAATGGCAGTGTTGAATGGCCTCACAATATCATTCTCTTTTAATGTACAAACTTGAAACTGTAGACAAACCCACTCCACAGCTTAATGTCTGGCTTTTATTTCTTTTACCAGCCCAACCCAAAGTGAGGAGGTCAAGTATCACTGCTGCAGCATTTCCAATCAACTGAGCCCCAGAGTCCCATTCAATGTGAACTTTCTTCCATGAAATGAGAAAAGGGAGAATATTTTTTTCTACTATCTGTGTAACGGAGGTCCCTTCAAATCTCGACTACAAAAGTATCAAGGTTATTCCCAGGTTATTCCTGGGAAGTGGACAGTATACATGTGCAGTTTGACCACAGCCTTCTGTTTTCAAATTGTTTAATCAGCAAAACAGAAGTCGTGTGTGTGTGTGTGTGTGTGTGTGTGTGTTTTGAAGCTAAGTAGTCAATTGGCTTTACCTGTTAATTAAATGGACACATCAGCAAATGAATGTCTGTTTCAAAAAAAGCAAGATTTCAGTCTTGTTCTCTGACCTTGGAGGAGTGCCTACAGGAAGCAGAACCTCAATTTTCAAACCATAGAGCCAAAGCAGACACAGTAATTTACCAGTGAGAAGTAGCAGAGGGTGGATCAATTATTCGTGGGGAGAAACACTCAAGAGCTAAATTGTCTGGTCCTGCCTTCTTTCACTTTGTAAACGGCTGTGTGGGAGCAGCCATTTATTATCTAGGACAACCAAGGGAAGCTTCTGAAAATGAGTGCCCAAATGACATTAAGCAAACTTTTTTTAAAAAGCGACACAAAAGGGTATTCAGAGAGTGACTAGTATCCATTTTCCAAACCTACAGAGTGATCCACATAAAGTCAAAATCCAAAATTGCTGAGTGAAATATCAAGTATTTAGGAGAGAAAATAAAAGACTTGTCTGTTTCTTGTATCCTAAGACTTATGAACACATATTTTAGTGACAGATTTTGGAAAGATCGCTACATCTTCTTTTGGAGGTCAGCATTCAAAGAGCTTTTAGAATTTGAATCTGAGTCTTGTTGGAAAGGGACAATAGATCTCACGTGTTAGTGCTCAGGTTACTGTAAATTGTTGATGATCAATCATAACACAAAACAGCACACCACGGTATATGCAACTTACAACATGGGCAATGATAGGTCAGCAGGAAGGAAGAGGTACAGAGGCATGGTGTTGCGTCTCTGGGAAGTTTGTGTGTGTGGGGGGGTGATTACTGCAGTTTAGGGACAAATAGAGGACATTCCCCTCCCTTGTGTGTAATTTCAGAGCTTGGATTCCATTCCCTAGGATATTTGGTTTGAATTAATTCAACATTGCATAGAGTGCCTGGAGTCTCAAGCTGGATTAGTGGAATAAGCTTCTTTCTGGGCCCCAGTTAGGTTCATCTATTTATTAGCAGTGAGGAAACGAGATTGCCTTCTCTATGCCTTTGGTAGCCTGATTCATTGGAAGATTAAAACAAGGTTATTAAACTTACATTTTTAAAACTTAAAATGACATTTTTGAACTCATCTACTGAGTACTACCAAGAGAGAAATAAGCTTTTGGACCACAGGGGGAAACTGTTTACACTTTCCATGACTTAACTGATAATTTGCAAGATAAAAAGTGAAACTGACAAATTGAACAACTTGAAGTAATTCAAGTTGCATCTGTAAATCATTAGGTATTTTGGCAATTAGGTTTAGAGAGAGAGAGAAAATGAAAGACAATGTTTGCACATCACTGGGACATTTTCCTGATCCAAATGTTTTTAATGTCTAACATTTGCTTATACATTAAATCTGTGCACATTCTTTGAAAACATAATACTGTACAATAAACTATGAAATAGGAGGTGTTAGAATTTACAAGAGAATCTCATTTCCCTTCCAGAGTCTCTAATGTTTTTGTCTTCTGGAAACTTGTTCTAAAACAAATTGCCAGACAATATACACTGACAAAGATCCTACGCAAAACGTTCCCTATCTCCTAAGAGAAGGGAATTTCTGAAAATGGCTCGTATTTTATGGTGGTGACATTGAGGGAGATGTCTTATCCTAGCCTTCTCAGTCTTAGCCTATTTGACTAGTCTGATGGATCAAATCTACTGTTTTCATGCCTCTTAGGGAAAATATTTAGTGATTTGAGAAAGAATATAAATGGACCAGTGTCTGCTTCTGTTGCAATAACCTGCTTTCAGTGCTAACCAGGACTGATCCTGCCTGGGAGAAACAAAAATAATCTAGAGGGAAATATTTAATCCAACATTACTTAATCCATCTCAAGCCTGTTTTCAATTCATGGGTCATGTTGTTGAGAGACAACATATTCAATCACCCCGTTCTCCCTTTATATAGACTATCACCTCTAAACTGCATTTAGAGATCTACTGGTCTGGCAAAACCAGAAAGGTGCAGGCTTCTCCTCTGATATTCCCCACCCCACCCCCAGAGCTCCTGCAGTTTTTGTCGGAGTACCAACCTTCTTCCACACTTTATATAAGTGTTTAGACACTTCGCCAGCAGCCTTGGTTTTCAGAGGGAAAAATAAAAATAGCACTTAATTAAAATAGAGCATGGAACCCAGAAGGTATTAAGGTGTGTGAGTGCTCAGCATGTTACATTCCCCACCCACTGTTTGGAATCTTGCACATTAATTCAACATAAAGCCTGAACACATCTACAGTAAAGAGATGAATTAAGTACTTGGGTCCCACAGAAGTTACTTCCACTTGGTAGTACGGCCTGATGTTCACTTTTCCTTTCCCACACCAAAAAAAAAAAAAGAAAAAATCATATAAAGATCTTTTTAATATGCAAAGCTTTGCTGCAGAGTGAAAGGGCCTTCATCATCCTTTAAGAAGGCCTGTTCAAGGTATTTTCATAAGCACAGTCAATCCACACACGCGCGCACACACGCTATTGCTAAGCAAGAAGAAAACACGCTATGCTTGATGACATGTTCTTTGATTATGGATCTCCAGGCAGTAGAAACTTGAGTGGAAGTGAAAAGTGGGCTTTTTCTAACAATTTTCTCTGTGGACCCCATGAGAGGTTGACATGAAAAGATTGGGCATCTCCTCCCGTGCCTCCTGAGGGAGATGGGCTGGGTTCCCCATTGCCTTAAGGCCCAGTCATTCCTTCCAGGAATGGAGCCCAAGTCACCTGAAGAAAGAAAAGTTATTGCAAACAATGAAGAGATAAGAAACAAATTGAGAAAACACTTTCATCTAATTTGATTTTGCCTGTGATGGAAAAACACCAATGGAGTGTGCATAATATTGCCGCATATAAATAGCTGTGAAGGCAGAAAGATGGCTCCATCTCTTTCAGCACATGCTGGAGCCAGAACGATGTTTCCTTAACAGCTTTTCTTCCCCTTTCAGTTCTATACATTAACAGAGGGGAGGGGGGAGAGAGGCATGCACAGAGGAGCAGATGTTTTTTAAAAACAGCCATTAGAGGCTTTCAGTCCCTAAAAGTATTCTTTTCTTTTCTTTTGTGCCCACAGCCCTGATGGAGGCAAGGTGGGTGCCTTGTGCTCTGCCAGGCACGTTAAACTAACAAACCAGCAAATCCGAGGGAGGAGACCCCAGAGAGAGAGACAGAGAGACAGAGAGAGTCGGAGAGAGATAGGCGGAGAGGGAGAGACAGAGAGAGACAAGGAGAGAGAAACAGACAGACAGAGGGACAAAGAGAGAGAGAGCCAGAGAAAGCCAGAGAGAGAAAGCCAGAGAGAGAGACAGAGAGAGAGAGGCAGAGAGACAGAGACAGGAAGAGAGGGCTTTTTCAAAATGTGAACCTGTGTGCATAATGTGTACCTTCAAAGCTGCAAACTAATAATTTTTCTCAAACATTTCCACACCAGTGGTCACCATCTATTATATGCAGCCTAATTAGTCTTCGTTAGTTTTAATTAGGCTATTTGGGGATGGGGCCTAGTCAGGACCTTAAAAAATATATGTCTCAGTTACCAAAAGCAACAGAACAGAAATGGAAATCTTATCTCATTTTAAAAATCAACCCAAACATTTCAATTAGTAAGTAACTGGTTCCCAAAGGCACTTTTCTACAGGAAACATACCTTCTTGTGCACTACAGTGAGAAAAAAAAATGTTGAATTACAGAGTTTTGATTTTCAGATAATTATTTTGGAGATTTCAAAACCTTTTTTTCTTTAAGATCCTAAAGGGCAAAAATCTTCACAACATAAGTGTTAATTAATTCCAGTACATAATTGAATAATAAAACTGGTGTAATAAAATACACCGAGAAGCCAAATTCTTTTATTATTATTATTATTAGTCTAAATAGTCCACATTTGCATTACTCTAAATGAGCTCATGTGGGACTTGGAACTTTGAGAGATTGAAAATTACAACTAAAATAATCCTAAAATTAGAACCCAGCATGAAAATGCATTTTGGGGGGCCTATTTCCTCCTAAAATCAAAGAGCCAGTAAGCCCTTTCTCTCCTACTTTAGTCTATCCCTCTGTCAATCTCAAGTGCAATTAAAATTCATTTCTGAGTAAAACTTGCACGCCATTCCATAGATAAATCATTGACAAACTCCTTGTTTTCCAAGTCTAAACACAATTTCTTGAAACCTTTGAGAGGTGGGGCTAATGACAGCCCACCCGTAGGGCCATATGTATTTAATACTGTAATCATGCCTGCTGTATAAACTGAGCACTAGGTGAATGTTAGTATTGCTATTAATAACATACAGTTTCAGAATCTAGCATGTCAGCATCTATCAGCAGAGTCGGGAGAGAGAGCTAGAAAACTGGCCATAAATGAACTTGCTAAGATAATCATCTTACCACTCTGCTATTTGTAGGTATAATTAAAATGCTTGAACAGTGCTCTTTATTTTATTCTTAAATTTATTATTGAGAAGGTTACCTTTTCCGTTCCTTCCTCCTTGAGACTAATAATGTCCAGATCAAAATCCTTCCTCAAGCCATCGGTTTTATTGAAGGTGATACGCCCAGTCAGGCCATCCCACCGAGCCTATGGACAAAAGGAACATCGCATTACTGTTTCACACTTATCATAATCCTAACACCATCAAAATTATAATACCTCAAATTCATCATGGTATCCAATTATTTGGTTTCGTCGTGGTGTTAGAAAGCATTGCACTGCTTCAGTAGCTCGATGGCAGAACACTTCCCTGTTTTATTAGCTCTCATTTATTTTGTCAGTTCTAACATCTACCATCCGTCAAATCTGTGACAGAGACAATTTAAATGGGCAGTATGGAAGGAATGACTGTAAAATAGTCTGCACATGGAGTAAACAAAGTCTGGGAAGCCATAATATTCTGTTCTCCAAGGTCAAGTCAAGTCCCTTTTAAGGTATTGCCCAGGGGAAGTCTCCCCTCCCCCACTCTTTTCCTCTGTGAAAAGGATATAATCCAGTGATGTATTATCGAATTTTTAGGGTGTTTGGGATTTAGGCTTTCCAATGTCACTTGGCCACTGTATTAGTTTCCTGTAGCTGTTGTAGCAAATTATCACCGAGTGGGGTGACTTAAAACAACAGAAATTTATTCTCTCATAGTTCTGGAGGCCAGGAGTAGATGTCCAAAATCAGTAACACTGGACAAAATCAAAGTGTCAGCAGGGTCATGCTCCCTCATGGAGACTCATGGGAGACTCTGTTCCTTGAGTCTTCATGCTTCTGGTGGCTGCCAGCAATCCTTGTCCTGTGGCGGTATGTCTCCTGTCTCTGCCTCGGTGGTCACATTGCCTTCTCCTCTTCTGTGCCATCTCTCTACTTGTTTCTTATGTCTTTTTTCTTTTTAAAGATTTTTTTTTTATTTATTCATTTGTCAGAGAGAGAGAGAGAGAGCACAAGCAGAGGGAGAAGCAGACTCCCCACTGAGCAAGGAGCCTGATGCGGGACTTGATCCCAGGACCCCAGGATCATGACCTGAGCCGAAGGCAGATGCTTAACCGACTGAGCCACCCAGGCATCCCCTTGTTTCTTATGTCTTATACGTGTGATGTATAATGCCATCTTATACATGTGATGGCATTTAGGGCTCATGTAGATAATCCAGGATACTTGTCCCATCTCAAAAATCCTTAATTTAACTATATATGTGGTGTCTTTTTTTTTTTGCCATAAAAGATAACATTTACATGTTCTAGGGATTAGGACATGGGTATCTTTTAGGGGAGCCATTATTCTGCCTGCCACATGTATATCCACATTATGTTAAGAACTAAAAATCACAGTAGTCTCCCCTTCACAGAACTCACACTGGACATCTTTGGTGGTTTCATTAAATAAAAAACTGTGGCCCTGGAGTTTCTTGAGCTTCAATCTCTAGGTGATTTTTTGGCAATCTTGTCTAATTTGAGTTGACTTACAAATGAGGATACAGGGGAACTCAGTCCTTTGTATCTACCTAGCTGTTTTTCTCTCTCCTGACTTTACCAAAATGACTGGACATTTGTAAAATGTGAAGAAAATCCTGAAAGATATACTATATCTGCCATGTCTATGCCATGTGCACCTGTTGACTGATTTACCCATTTGGCCAAGAGGCAGAGCAATTCAGTGGAAAGAGTATGAGTTTATCACAGAGCTGGGTTTGAATCTCTGAGGTATGACTTCAGGCAAGAGACTTAACTTGAACCTGGGGTGTCTCAGATTTCAGTGTCTGACCCATGCAGGGTTTCTGTGAGATTTAAATGGCACTTCATACAATTCTTAACTCACTGAAAGCACTGAAAACTTAAACCAGGATTATTCTGACAACTATCTCTTACTTTCCTTCCCACATTCCCCACAAACTCTGGAGTTTGGCTTTTATTACCTCACACGTCAGGACTCACATGTATAGTTTTTTCTGATCTCTTCTGTATTTCATTTTACAAACCAACATCAGATTCATTGTCCCAAAATACAATTTTCATACTCCTGCAATTTCTCCCAGCACGTAAAGTACATAATGAATTCATGCTGCCTACAAATTAGTCTAAACCTTGACTTTACATTCGAGGTTGTGATGGTTAATTTTATGTCAACTTGCCTGGGTCATGGGCTGTTCAGTTATCTGGTTAAACACTATCTCTGGGTATGTCTGTGACAGTGTTTCCATTTGAATCAGTAGACTGAATAAAGAAGATGTCCTCCCTAATGTGAGTGGGCATTATCTAATACACTGAAGGACTGACTAGAACAAAGAGGCAGAGGAAGGGAAAATGTGCTCTCTCTGACTGATTGAGCTGAGACATTGATCTTCTCCGGCATTTGGACAAGGATTTAACACCATTGGCACTGTTGGTTCTTATCTTCTCTGTGCCAGAAGCTATCTTAGAATATAGCACCTAGTAGTTTACGGTTTAGTAGGAACAAGAACATTAATGTACTTCAACGAAGCACTATGGGTGTGAGGATAAAGATTTGCACATAGTTATTGAAGAAAGAAGTCTGTACCTCTGAAACAAATAATATATTATATGTTTAAAAAAAGAAGATAATAGGAAGGGAAAAATAAAGGGGGGAAATCGGAGGGGCAGACGAACCATGAGAGACTATGGACTCTGAGAAACAAACTGAGGGTTCTAGAGGGGAGGGCGGTGGGGGGATGGGTTGGCCTGGTGATGGGTATTAAAGAGGGCACGTTCTGCGTGGAGCACTGGGTGTTATACACAAACAATGAATCATGGAACACTACATCAAAAACTAATGATGTGATGTATGGTGATTAACATAACATAATAAAATAAAATAAAAAATAAAAACATGAAAAAAAAAGAAAGAAGTATGGAAAGAAGTACTTATCCCAACTGCCCAGAAAGAAAGCCTCAGCAAAAAGACTCCTACAGGAAGGAATGCCTAAGCTCTCATAGGATGAGAGATTGGCCAAGCAGGGGCACCTGGGTAGCTCAGCCAGTTAAGTCAGTTATCCCAGAGTCACGGGATCAAGCCCCGAGTTAGGCTCGCTGAGCGGGGATTCTGCTTCTCCCATTGCCCCTTCCCCCTGCTCCTTCTCTCTCTCTCACTAACTCTTTCTCTCTCAAATAAATAAATAAATAAATAATCTTAAAAAGAAAGATTAAAGAAAAAAAAAAAAGAAATTGGCCAAGCAAAGATTTACAGCCTGAGTAAAAACCATGAAATATAGAACAAGTGATGTCTGCCATGGATCCATAGTCCAAGATAAGGAATGACAAGAGATGGGCCTAGGAAGGAGGCAGGTGGACACTTCTTCTTAAGGGTGTGATGAATTGTGCTACTTTGCTTGGACTTTGCTCAATAGACACATGGGAATCATCAGAATGTTTTAAGCCTGGGAGTGTCATGGGCAGATGCGCACTCTAGGGAGATCATTTTAGCAGAACTAGGGGAGGATGACTCAAAGATCAAGACGGCAAGCAGAGGATTGGTTAGCAGGTAGTTCTCACAGAACAAAATGAAACATATTCACATGCCCACATATGAACATAGGGATAGCACTATTCCTCCATCTCCCTGTCCCACCAACTTGCACACCATTAAGTATTAATAGAAATACTTCCTTAGCAGGGTGGCCAGTTTCATGAAGAAAGCATTGCCATTAAAGTTCTTACAGACAGAATAGTGAATGGAAATCAACTTAATTATCAGGGTCCAACACAATTAACCCAGACATATTTTTTGGCTACCATGCAGATGGAATGGAAATCATGTCAGAAGTAAATTTTATCACTTGATAGTGCTGGAAGTTAAATTCATATCAGGAAATGATACGTGGACACAAGAAGCCTTCAGCTCTCATCTAAGCCATCTACATGGCCAAACTAGATGTGAGTTACTCCAGTGCAGTAACACAGAAGAAATTCTTCAGATCCTTGAACTTTGCCTCCAGAGCTTATTGCCAAGGGAGGTCATAATGCCAAACGCTAGCACCAGCTTTAAAAAAAAGATGGCATATTTTTACAGTTGACAGTAACACCTATTGTTACACTTGCTGAAATACAGGTAATCATATGCTCTGCACTGGGGCAAAAAAAATCGATATTGAATGCAAGTAGGGAGAGTCCTCTCCTGTGTATAGTTAGGAACACCTCCTGGCAGTGCAATCTTTTTCTCCCCACTAGATCCCAATCCTACTTTTTGTACTCTAGTCACTTTTTATTTTGCAAGGCAAAGGCTGGTTTCATGGATTGGTGGGGTAAATGAAAAGTCACTAAATAAACTACTGCATTCGTGTCATAGCATCTACCAGAGAGTGGAAGACAATTTGTCTAAGACTTCAGTTGGGTGGAAATCTGTACTGTGCTAGGGCTTTGGACTCAGTTTTCAGGCCCGTTCTTCATGCTTCTCAAAATGTGCAGTTTTAACCCTCCTCTTGATCTGTGTGGAAGGAGGTAGTTTTCTTCATTAAAGTTCTACAGGATTTTCAGAAAACTTTTTTTCTACAAGCAACTTTTCCTTTTTGGGGGTCATGCCGTGAGTCAATTCGATACATTGTCCAGAGTTTATGGAGCTCTCTGAAAATAGGCAGAATTGGTAACATTTATCTCTTGGTGTAGCATATAGCTCATAGCAGGGTCTTAAAATCCAGTTCAGAAATCCAATTTCACTTCCACTGAGTGGGTCTATTGTGTCCCTTTGTTTGGATTCTGTTGCTTTGGTTTGATTCTTGAATTTAGTGTTCCAGTCACTGGTGCAGTGTAATTCCCACTTCTCGCTTCTCCTCCCTGCTCATCCAAGTGGCAAAAAAGTTCCTTTTTCATGCTTTAACAATGCTTCCTTCCCTGCCTCAAATATCTACCAAGACTCCCTGCCTGGTTCTTTACTGAACTGAAACATCTTTTGACCTTCAAAGTCAAGCTTCTCTTACTGACACAATTGCATTGTCTTCCTGCCTCCCATCCACTGATGAGCATTTCTATGTTCCTGGTTTTGTTTTTCAAACTAACTGTTGATTAGCATTTATTGATTACCAGTGTATTATTGATTAGGGTGAATAGACAATGATTAACTCCTGGGTATGAGGAATAAGATCCATA